TCACCTGTGTGAACCCCACGTTTGGTTGTTTTATGGTTCAGTGGAGTGTGCGATACTAGAAAATGGGTTAATTCAGTACTAGGTTAATTCACACACAAGATTGTGGGAATAGTCTAGGTACAAGGATTTTCTTCCCCATCCTAAACTAGCTCTGAGCAGAAAAGGTTTTATCAGTTGATTGTATACACCAGCCCTGTAAGAATAGGGCTCCAACTTGTAGAAATACATCCTGTAGAGAAATGCAATATAATGTATGATGAACTGTGCATTGATTTATATAGTTTCAAGGAACATAATTTGGCCAACTAAGGATAATTAAAATCTCCCTATTCAGTGTTTCAATGGAAATGTTTCAAAAGTATTTCTGGGATACAATTTTTGGGAACTTGCTTAAACTTTCATATAGGCTGAGTTCACACATCATGTTAAATTATAATGTGGTTTGTTTGGCTTTATGTGAATCCAGCCATTGTGGTTTGGTTTATGGATTAGTGAGCTTTGCAAACCCAGCCAATTGTGATTTATTCAATAAACAATGAGTAACAAATAATAGCTTAGGCCAGAGTTTGAAGCCAAAGTAGTTGTATTAATTTTTTTCAAATAATTTGTGCTACGGCACATTTCACAGAAACAGATTCTTAAATATTTAAAGAATTTCAATTACCTTTTTAAGAAGGGACAGATATTATTCTCAAATAGCACCTATATTTGGTTATTAAAAAACTAATAATCCATTTTGTTGTACTAAGAGTTATGTTATTTAACTTCTGTTTTATTAACCTCTAACCATACCTATTTTAAATACTTCAGAAAATGAAGAAATACTAAATAATATTGTTAAATGAAAATCATAGCTTGTTCATTTGTTCTTATATTTCTCTTGGCTTTTCACTGTTTTATGTAGCTGAATGTCTCCACACAAAACATGCGCATTTAATGGCATAATGAGGTTCTACCTCTGACAATCATCTGCGATGGCTTATTCACATACACGAATCATCACCTGATGCTACTGTAGCCATACACCATCACAGAGATATTAGCACCAATATGTACCCTGCTATCGGATGCAGCAAGATTTACTTCAGAGTTGGCTTGCACAGCTCACTACACTGGCTAAAATAGTTGGGTTACCTGTAGATCAGTACACTGTAGGAACCCAGCTTAGCATACAGTGTGAACTAGACCCTCATATTAACCCATAATAATGTATTTTTGTTTGTTTGCACAGCTTTGTAATGAGAACATAGGCACCACATTTTATTATGCCAGGTTTACTTCACAAGTGACCTCAGCTGGTCAGCATGCTTATAATCAAGTTATAAGAACATGAACTGAGTTTCACTCTAATTCTCCTAGTTTCAAAAGTGTGCCTGAATTCATTCAATTGCACACATGCAAGTATATGCTTTACATATAGATTGTTTGAGTGGTTCCTAGAAAAACTGGCATTATACATCCAAATAATTTGTCCATCCAGCTGAAGAAAGGTTCACATGAGCTCCGCTGTAAAACTATTTTACTTGTGATGGACTTGTGTGTATCCAAGTATATGACACTGGTGTACATTGAGCATTCCTGATTCACATTTGCATGGGGGTGTACTGAGTTGCCTTCTAGATGTTTTGGACTGAAGTTTCTCTAGTGCCAAGTTTGCCCTCACTGCCCTAGCCTTATGAAGAGTTGTAGCGCAAAATAGCTAAAGAGTTTAGATCTTCCACAACAGACCAAAAATCTGACTAATGTAGAAATTGCAATATTTTATTAGCATAAGCAACTTTCTTCAATAAATCTGTAGTTTGTGTAAACAGGGTAGGCTAATCAGAACCTAGACTCTGAGCCCCATACCCTATATAGGAATTTGGATCAACAGCCCCCAAACATTTTACTGTGCTTCTTCCCAATGGTATATAGGCTCAAATATACATACTTAAAGCAGCTTTCCCAAGCCTGCCATTCACCAGATATGTTGGGCTTCACCTCTCAGAATTTCTAGCCCACTTGATTAAAGCTGCTTTAAGCCCCTGATGCTTTTCTGCCCTTTAAGCCCCCTCCTCCCTCTCCCCCACAGCCACAGTTCTTTGATTGTCTACAAAACTCTTTTCCAAAATTACCATGTATTAGTCCACTTTCTTAGCTGGGTGGACATTTGGACAATCAGAAAGCAAGCCCTAGGCAACTGCAGCTCATCTTGCAATAATAAGGAACAAATTTGTGCCATTTCATATGCAAAGGGTGTGTGCCGCTTTATGACTTTCTTTTTGTTTAGGCCAAACTGGATGGTTGGGGAAGGGGGAATGGTTTTCAAGTCCTCTCTGTTCTGAACTTCTATTCAGATTTGGTGTGGATTCAAAGGCATCCAATCTGTACATGCGGTGGTTTCACAGGCAACACGTGACCTAGGCTAAAAACAGATACAGAGAAACTTGTACCTATAATTATATATTTTAAATAGAACTTTGCCCCAGAGAGTATTCTACTCAAATCCAGCTAGTTTATTCAGCCCCATTAACAAGCAAAGAGAAATCCCCATGGATAAGAGTTCTCCATTAAAAAAAAACAAGACAGCCCAGCCAAACTGAAAACGGACAAGTTTCATCTAATTTGCATAAATCCATTGCCATGAGCTCAGGCTTTGCTCATTACGAAGCCACAGCAAAGCAGGAACTGCCAGGAAAACTTTCTTGGATCATTAAGTTCCCAATCCACAAGCTTTTTTTCCCCTCAAACCAAACCCTCTCCTAATCTGAATAGGTTCCTCAGAAGTACAGACCAAAGGAAAAAGTTCATTGAGTAAACCTAAGCAAACTGGCTCTTTAAAACAGCTGAGTCCCCTTCTTTCCACTGGGACCTTTCCATTGGTAGCTGCTGCTCATGTAGCGTCCCCATTGCTCTTCCAAGTGGTCCAAGTCTTTTACCATGCGCTACAAGCTATGGCCAAAGCCTTGTTGCTGTCTCAGACCCAGGACTGAACTCACCCTCATCACAAAATGCTATGAGAGAACTAGAAGCGCGTATATGATGCGCATATATGTGGCAATAAGATAAAATGTATCTCTGAGCAATTTCCAGAGTGTATTCATAAAACTGTGATTAATTCATTCATGATGCACAATAGCTCATGGACAGTCATGATAGCAAATAAAACCAAGAGCTTTTTAGACTAATAAGTTCGCATCTCTTAGTGCACTTTTGTTCACACTGATTTTTTTGTTAGTAAACCTATATGAGGCTGTATTCACAATCCTGCACTGGACATTTAGTCGCTGGATTA